TGAAAACTGTCCTTTGTAGAGAGTTGCTACTGTAATATTCTACTGTACTAAATGGAAGACAAGTTCCCACCAACTTCTCAGGGCTGTTGTTGTTTTTGAACATGGGCCACCATCTTTGTTTGGGATAACAACGCTAGATAAGCAGAAGGTGACTGGGGCATTCTTTTTCCTACACCTGCAGAACAATGTGTGGAATGTACGCCACTTGATAGAGTCAGGTGGTAACTTCCACAGAGTGTTTATTTTCAATGTTGATTATTGATATTTAAAAAAATGGATTTTTATTACTTAAAAGCATTCTTTCTTCTAGCAATACAACTTACTTGTAATAATAATAAGGCACAATTTGGATTATAAACACAAGGTAATAAGACCAAATCCAAATAAATAGTGTGTGATGTTTCGGTAACAGCGTTGTTACTGAAACCTCCCACCTTCCTATCTGTTTTATCAAGGGGTTGGATAAATTTATCCCTTTATTGGGAGCAAGTGGGATTTAATCATGTTACCTCACAATATATAGCGGAACCTCCATGAGAGGACACTCGCTTGAGGATGATACCTCTCTATAAAGGACAGTTTTCATCACTAATATCATTTTTAACTATTTAGCAACTCTCCGGTAAGAGGACACCTCTTTATACAATGGACACTTTAGCTATGCATTTAAATGTCTTTTAAAGAGAGGTTTTGCTGTATATATACATGTTATATAAAAAAGGAGATTTTCTGCTTGTATTTTGATTGTTATTTATATATTATTAGCTGTTGCTTGATTTTTGTATCTATGAGTATTTTACGATATTGTTCTGCAGTCGTGGCAATAATCTTGGAAGTATAATTATAAAAATAGTTTTGATAAGTAATTTAATTGAATTAAAGGAATATATATGAAAAACATAATTTGGTAAAAGTACCGCCTGGCTTAAGGCGAGTAGAATAAGGAAAACAAAATATTATTTGCATAATGTATAAAGATTTGAGCCGGCCAACGGGGAAACAACAACAATGAGTTTTTATATGCAAAGCGTGACCTCTGGCGGTCGATTTAACAGAGTATTTGTATCTATGATATATAATTTTAAATAAAATAATATTTTTATATAACATATACATATTAGCAACAATTTCATATTTGGGATTTTAGACTTGTTATAACCAAGGT